GGCTCCCTGTGCGACGAAAAGTTCGATGATGTGCGCCATGGGCTGAGTGTCTCTTTTTTTTTTGGCCACCCCTGTATAATATTACGCGTATCTGGATGTTGGCCGAGCGAAAGAAGAAAAGGCGCTGACCCATTCTCATGCCATAGAGGTACGGATGCATTCGTGGTTGAAGGATATTTTCCGGTTCAGCCATGTTGGCAGTGAAATGAATTGACTGGAGATTTGCGCTGCGCCTACCATGGATGAAATGTGAAGGCAAGACAACACGCTGGATGTAACGCTATGTTCGTCACTGCACAACGCTTTGAAGTCGAAGGTAAACAATTTCTTGACATGGCCAGGAGCGATCAGCGAGGACATGAATTGCACAGTTGAGCCGCGTGTGTGGGACCGTGGTTCTCTCCTCTGACGGAAAGAAAACACTGGCTTGATTGAGAGGGTATTAAGTAATCTTACAAGGAGATGGAACTGGTTTGTCGCTGTGGATTTTCGGATTCAAGACTACCAGAAGCCGGAATACGACGCAAACCTTTTAATGTTTCATCCCTTCAATTTAAAGGAAGCGATTACGATAAAGGGGAGCGCATCGGGGAAGCATATGCACCACACGAATCAGTTACTTGGCTGCCAGGGAAGCGAGATGTGGCGCTTTCACGACGAAAGGTGCGCTGGTTGCTGAGCAGGACTTCGAAAGCGCTCCGCCCCCAAAAGCGATCCGCCCACTAGTTTACTTGTTGATTTGGACGAGCTGCGTGCCAGCAGCGGCGCAAATGGAGCATCTCGATTAAAGCGTTTGGCATGGTGCCATCAAACGCGTTGCGGTGAACTCGTTCATACGTCCACTTTCTGAGCTGTTACCTGTTCATGAGTGAAAACCAACGGCCAAAAAAGGGGTCCCGTTTTGCGTTTTCTTGACGGATTTTTCTGCTTTTTTTCGCTACTGGCGTACCATTGAGCACCACCACGTCACACTAAACCCTTCTTGAATTTATCGTAACCGCTGCCTTTAAGAGAACCTTTTCTGACTAATGCCCGATTAACAAATCTTCTCAGCGACAGGTATGTTGGAAGATTTCTCAATTTTGCAACAATATTCCGTCCATTACCGAGGGCGGTCAACATACATTTTCTTCTACTACGCCTGGAAACACTACAAGGGACAGCGTCTTCACCGTCAGGGCAGGTCTTGCATATCTACGTCTTAGGGGATCTAAATGCTCCTAAATTTCTCCGTCAGAAGTTCAGCAGAAACTTATACTGGGGGCATAGTTTGCACAGTATTTCTACTTTGGCTTAATTTTGTAAGTTTGTCGCTGTAGCGATGTCTTGTGTTTGTCGTCTTACCCAATATTCAGTAGAATAAATTTCACTTCAATCGAATAAAGTGGAGCTCTTTGATGAAAACCATAGACCCTACACCATTAGGACAACAGCAGAGAAAAAGGATAACAATAAGCTTTACTTAAGAAAGGTTTTATTTACAGAGGTATTCCGAGGTTACATACAATACATATCTAGGTATTGGCTACTATTTACTATAACATTTTTTTTCTAACGATGAATTACATGCTCTCAATGATGATGTCCCTGATGTCCGTGGTCGTGGTGCTCTCCGTGGTGACCTCCATGCTCATGGTGAACGGTTGTGTGATGAACATCAACGTGATGTGGGTCGTGGTGCACGGTTACCTGACATGAAAGCAAGAGTGAGATACGAAAGCAGGTGTTATAATCTGACACCAAACATCAGTACTCAATTCTGCTATCTAGCAAGCGGCGCTTATAACCCTTCTATTTCGTAGAGCCTAATCGTTCTTGATTTAGCTACTCTGGAACGGCCTTCTATCAAAACAGTGAAAACCCAAAACCCTTTTCCAAACACTATAAAACTAGATTTACTTGCACTCGAAACAGATTCACAGTGTTACCCAAAGGCTCTTATCAAAGATTGGTCTGCACTATCCACTGATACTGCCCCAATGTCTCAAAATTTGCTTTTTCATCGAAACTTCGCTCATAGGGGTAGGTCGATGCCCTGACTAAAACGACATTCATATTTGCCGGCGACAATTTGTCACGACGACATTTTCCACCAAATTCGCTCTACTTTTGTTTACGGGGGTAACTTGGTGTATTGCTTACGACGAAGACATTTTTTTTGAAACTAGTGCTGTCTAATGCATATTTTGTGCTCTCCTGGGCTCTCTCACATGTATATTGTAGCTAAGAATACCTTAGTGGGAAATGTGTCTCCGGATAGGTAAATTACGCTCATAGCTACGAAATAAAATGCCTGAGATCACAGTGTGAGTGGCTTACTCACCTTCAAGCCCTCCTCTCCCCAAGGCTTAGTCCTTATCGTGACCTAATCAGTGATAGGGCGTACATAAGCAGGAACTAGACGTCAAATAGCGCATCAAAAATGAATATCGTATTCGTAATCGGGGGTCAAGAGTCTCCACGATAATGAAGCGGATACAGGGTAATGGCACTTCTACCTTATATGGTGACTCGCTTCTCATCATCATCTTATTAGTAATCATTGCGAACTAACCAAAATGATGCAGTCCTTGAAGTCTTGGTACTATGAAATGGATATCAAAGTATGTAGGTAAATCTGCCTACTGCAAAGAGAGGTCAAGCATTAGGAGTTCGAGTCCTTAAAAAGTCCAGATGTGGCGTTTTACGGTAAGATCGTCCCTTATGATGTAGCATGGCGTAGCATGTCCCTCTGAAGGCCCTCGTACCCTTGTCCTTCCTGTTTGGTTGCCCCACCACCTAAACCCTCACCGTCGGGTTCGAAATTTTGATGGGAAGGCAGAGCAATACGTCCATGTTAACGAAAGTAGCTATCGCAGGATTGCGTCCAGAACGAAAATAAATTACCAAAGGGTACTGTTCGCAGTGTTTGTGCAGGCCATTTCTTCACCAACCTTCGATCTCTTAACACGTTGACGACAGCGCAGGACACATACGTCCCGCACTTTGCAGGCCATGACGGACAGCGCGGGACGTATGTGTCCTGCACCCATTACACTCATTTTTTCGCGCACGCGTGATTCTTTTAGAAGTTTCTTGTATTTATTCCATGGAAGAGACCTTAGCACAGCTACAAACATAGTGGCTCGAATAAGGGTTACGTATGCTTCAACTTAGAAAAAGATTTCTGAACGTTACTGAATATATCAGTTCAGATAATTTTTTGTTTCCCTTTTCATTCGATAAGTGTGAGGTTCAAAAGAGTGGTAAAATTAAATACGGAGCCTGAGGAATAACAAGATATGTGTTGTGATCGCAGCAATCCAGGTAGGACGGATTTTAAGGTTCGTTGTAGATAAGTCTGGTTTGCTTTTTCATTCGT